TCTTTCTTTCTTTCTTTCTTTCTTTCTTTCTTTCTTTCTTTCTTTCTCTCTCTCTAACAGGAACCACCTAGGATTTAGTGTCTAATGATTGGAAGGCAGTTTATCAGGACATAAAGACACTAAGTTTGAAAAACTGGGCAGGGAAGGGGATCACTTTATAAACTATCTAAGTTGTGATAAGAATGCATGCTTTATATGCCAGGCATGGTGGCACATGCCTCTAATCCCAGCACTCAGGGAGGCAGAGGCAGGAGGATCACTGTGAGTGCCAAGCCAGCCTAGTCTACAAAGTAAGTCCAGGCAGTCAAGGCTGCACAGAGAAACCCTGTCTTGAAAAAAAAGAAAAGAAAAGCATGCTTTATAAAACCATTGTACTTTCAAGTCCCTATTTGGGTGATACTGTTGCTGGGTGATGGTGGTACACATCTTTAATCCTAGCACTTGAGAGGCAGAGGCAGGTGGATCTCTGTAAGTTTGAGGCCAGCCTGATATACAGAACAAGTTCCAGGACTGCCAGGGCTGTCAGGGAAACTCTGTCTTGGGAAAAACAAACACCAAACAAACAAATATGTAATGGATGTTTTGCTTTCTTTAAAAAACTTAATTATGTATGTTTTGTTTTAATCTCAAGTGTGGGATTTTAGTTTGGGTTCCAGTTTTTTCACAGCTGATAATTACCTCCTGCGGGGCATGGTCTTTGCCAGCTGGTGATGGCCTGCCTTGTGCTGCACAGAGCGGGATGTGGTCTAGGACGCTAAGGGATATAAATAGGAGACCTGGAGAGAGGTGTTGCATGTGGCGAATGGCAATTTGGAGAGACCAGAGACCAGAGACTGGTGGTGTGGTGGCTTGGAGGAGACTGCTTGCTTCATTTACTGTTGACAGTGATTGGTATAGCCCCAAAAGAACCCACTGACCCTAAACAGCTGGGAGAAGTAAGAGGGTCTGTGCCCATCTTCCCACTAACGTCTCTCTTACCTAGGGTTGGGGAGTTGGAAGGAAGAGGCATTAAGGAACCCCAAATGAAATAAAGTTTAAAAGTGAAAATGGCACAAATAAACGAATAAAGCCTGTGTACACATAGCAGTTAGATGAATGAAGCCATTGGTTTCCTTTTGGCTTGGGAAAATGGTGTTCTGGGTTTCATTGTACGTGATTAGCAGCTTTCACTTCTGTGTGGCAAGGATCTTGTCTCTGCCTTTGAGTTCTACCCCAGCCTGGGTCATGAGGTCAGTAATGTTTTTTCTCCATACTGTCAGTGTGACTATTTAATATTCATTCTAGCTGGGGATGGTCTGAAAGTCATCTTGTGTCTGTGGCAAGTGTGTCTCCACCACCAAGGTGATATTCTGTATGGTCTTGGGCTCCATCTTGTCCAGTTGACTTGTTGCCCTGGTTGGTGGTGACCTCTCTAACTCTTTACCTATTGTCTTAGTGTTCTGTTGTTGTGAAGAGATGCCATGACCATGGAAACCCATAAAGGAAAGTATTAATTGGGGCTGGCTTGCAGTTTCAGAGGTTTAGTTCATCGTGGTGAGAACCATGGCAGCATGCAGGCAGACATGGTGCTGGAGAATGAGCTGAGAGTTCTACATGTGGTTTGACAGGCAGCAGGAAAAAGAGTGAGCCATTGAGCCTGGCTTGAGCATTTGAAACCCCAAAGCCTATTCCCAGTGACACACTTTTTTTTTTTTTAACAAGGCCACTCCCTAGTGACCAAGCAATTAAATATATGAGCCTATGGGGGTCATTCTTATTCAAACCATCACACTAATACTTCAGGTTCTCAGCCAACATGCCCCTAGCCTCTGCTTCTTGAAACAACACAATTTTGGGGGCCACTACCTCTTATTAGCTAGACACACTGGTGAGCTGAGCAGGTGCTGCTTTGCTGAGAGCAAGGCCCTCAATGGATGAGGCTAACAGCTGCCTCAGAGTCTCTTAATATCTCTGACTCTACTCAAGCATATGTGGTGGTTTCAATGACAACACCCCACAGGGTCATATATTTGGATGTGTGGTCCTCAGTTGGTGAACTGTCTGGTAAAGACTACGAGGTGTGTCCTTGTTGGAGGAGATGTGTCACTTAGGGTGGACTTTGAGGTTCAAAAGCCCATGCCAGGCCCTCTCTGTTTCTGTGTCTGTCAGTCTGTCTGTTTGTCTGTCTCCATCTTGTGGATTACATGTAAGCTTACAGCTGCTTCTCCAGCATAGCACCTGCCTGCCTATAGCTATGCTCACCACCATGATGATTGTGGGCTAACCCTTGGAAACTGTAAGCCAGTCCCCAGTTAAATGCTTTCTTTTATAAGTTGCCTTCATCATGGTGTCCCTTCACAGCAATGGAACAGTAACAAAGACAACACCACTGGAGCCCGTGTCCTCCTTGCCCTCTGGGTGGTGAGAGGTTTCAAAGTGCTGTCTTTTAAGCATGCAGCCTATCTTGGCATATAGCCATCCCTTTGTGTCACTGGCCAAAGCAAGGAGGTAAGGTGTCCAGTGTTCTGATGTCAAAAGGCACACAAGAAGGCACTGTCCAAGGCTTTCTTTTGAGTTAGGAACCAGCTCTAATCATGAGGGGCAGGCCACCACCATAGATGCTGTGGCCCTGTGGGGCAGCTGTCATTTTGTCAATCTGTATGGGATATTGTCCAGACGGATTGATTTCTCAAGTGTTAAATAGGTTAAGTCTTTTTTTTTCCAGACAGTATTTCTGTATAACCTTGGCTGTACTGGATTCCCTTTGTAGACTAGGCTGGCCTTGAACTCATAGTGATCTACCTGCCTCTACCTCCCTGAGTGCTGGGATTATAGGTGTGCATCACCATGCGTACTTCTCAGATTTTTTTGTTTTTGTTTTTTCAAGACAAGATTTCTCTGTGTAGCCTTGGCTGTCCTGGACTCACTTTGTAGACCAGGCCGGTCTCAAACTCAAAAAGATCTGCCTGCCTCTACCTCCCAGAATGCTGGGATTACAGGTGTGCTCACCATGCCTGGCTAAAATTTTAATTAAGTTAGTAAGTAGAGGCTTTTTAGATAGGGTTTTACTATGTATGTAACCCTGGCTGACCTGGAAATGATAGCACCCCCCTCCCCTTTTGAGACAGGGTCTGTCTCTGTAGTCCTGGCTGACCTGAAACTGGATATGGAGACTAGGCTGGCCTTAAACTCACAAAGTTCCACCTGTCTCTGCCTCCACTGTGCTGAGACTAAAAGCACTTTCTCTCTTTTTAAATTATATTTCCTTAGGTAAGACATTTTCATGAAAGAAAATTTACAAATAAATGTTTGTATTTATTTCCTATATCAGTGTCCTCTTCAAAGGTCCCTTTTTATCCCAAATTTGAAAAGATTTTTTTTTCTCTTAGTATAAAGAAAGCTTTGAAGAAGAAAGTATTTCTGGCATTTGGTTACATATCTGCAAAAGTATTGGCTCATTCCCAAATCTCTGTTGCCCACAAAAATTAGGGAATCTGTGGATTCCCCCTAGGTCCATCATTACTGGGGCAGCTCTCGCCAAGACCACTCTGGAAGGACTAACATGGAAGGTGGGGAGGAAGAAGAAGCTGTGAGCCTGACCAAGAAAATCCTCCTGGGCCAGACAATCCCAGCTGCCAGGGCCGGCCTAGTGGTACAGGAAGGGGAGGCCTGTGGAAGGGCCTGCTTTCCCTTCTGAGTTTAGGAGGAGGTTTCATTAGGATAAAGCAGGTCACTGGGGGGAGGGTGTAGAGGGTGGGGCACTGGGCACTATACCTGAGCCAGTAGGTGAGCTTCTTAGGAACTTAAGTTCAGTTTTCACTAAAGCCCTGGCTTAGTCAGCATACTGAGAGCTGGCTGTCTCACACTCAAGACAGTGGGAGAGCTTGACGGTCTGCTGGAGTCAGGATGCTGTCTGTCCTGAGAGGCACACAGAGGTAAGGCGGTATGGCTCTGGGTGGCCAGCATAAGGGGCACTTGCTCTCCTTCTAGAACAGTTCAAAAAGCTGGCAAAAATACAGTGATGACATTTGTCTTTAAAGGGAAGTTGGCTTGGATTTGGGGAATCTTCTTTTGAAATCAATCTTTTTAGATTTCATTTCAACCTTTGAATTTTTGTTACTGACGATTAAACCCAGGAATTTGCTTGTTAGCTTGTAGTAAAAGCAAGCACTCAACCATAGAATTATAGCCCGGGCCCAGTTTCACTTTGGACAGGAAAACGTTTTGGAGTCTGAGAAGCCCACAAGAAAGCTGCACCCCAGCACAGAGGTATCAAAATTACCTTGGTTATTTGGGCTGAAGATTTTGGTGCAGGTCAGGGGGTGGGAATGGTACTGGTACTGGGGACAGGGACTTACTGGCTTGGCCAGTGAGTTCTGTCCTGCTGGGTCCCTCAGAGTTGCCCTCATTCACAGCTGTAGAGAGAAGATTGGCCTCTGCTTTTAGTCATCTACCCCTCCCTCTCATGGATATTGTTGGCATATTGTAAAGATTAGGCTCAGAGTTTTCCTGTTTAGTGATGAGTAAAGCACAGACCTCTGCAAGTTTCAGGGCAACCCTTAAGCTTAGGGTCATTCCATACCAGGTTCCTGTTGTGTCCTGGGACCCTGGTCTGATGGTGGAAGGCTTAGAGTGTTGAGCCCAGGGGAAGTCTTCCTCAGGGACAGAGCCATGGGGGCCCGTGTGACCTTGTGAATGGTATGTATCCCCATGGAAGCTTGATATAGTCATGGAGTCTGTGTGTTCCTGTGGCTGACTGTCACTTAAGACCAGCTATTAGAGTCCAGTCTGGGGCCTGGCTTTGAAGAGGAATGGGTAAAGTAAGAAGCTTGGCTACAGTTTGCTGGTGCCCACCATCTTGATCACATGTGGGTAGGATGAGAGCTGAGACTGAGCATGGTGGCATATGCTTGTTGTGTGTGACAAACCTTCCTAGGGGAAACACAACACATATCTACCTACCCCAGATAGGGATCCCATCACAGACCAAAGAGCAGATACCACTAAAGTCCAATTTGATGAACCAATGAACTTTATTGGGGTTACTTACAGAAATATGGGTGAGAGATTACTTAAAGCAGCAGAAACGACTCAAAGTCAGCTGTATTACCAAAGCCCACCCAGCATGAGTGACAGCTCACAAAGCTGGGAATCTGGAGCACATTATAAAACCTGCAGGCAGCTCAACAGGTTGGAGACTGACTTTTCCAGGTGCCCCAGTTAATCTAGACCTCTTCCAGGTAGCTTTTCTGGTCTCAGTCTTAAAAGACTATGTAGCAACTTTCAGGACACCCAGGGCTACAAAGAGACTGTCTCAAAAACAAAGGAAGGAAGAAAGTACAGAGGTTACTTTTTCTGTCCATGGAGGAGCTCCATTGTTGACTGATGTCACTATTTGTTATGGAGCATATTGGCCACTGTCTGGGAAGGGGTGAGCTCTCTCTGGCAGGAATCCTAGAAAAGCCTGGCTTGTGATTTAAACAGGCCCTGGAGTCTAATGGTCAGTTTCCAAGTAGATGATACACTGTTTTGTTTGTGAAGGTAACCTGATATATTTTAGACCTGTGTCCATAAAACCTGGCTGGTCAAGAGCTAGGTGATTCCTCCATGAGGTGCAGCCAGGTGTTGGGGTGACTAGGGGGACATGGAGTATAGGGTAGTTTGGAACCCATTGTGATAGCAATGGCATTCCTTGGAGTCGCTATGTCATTTGTGGACCAACTACCCTTTGCAAGAAACTAACAGGAGGATTTCGGAGACTGTTAATACTGTTCACGATCTACTTGCCTACCTTTTGGAAGGTGTTCACATGTGGTACACGAAACTCTCTGGTCCAGGAATTCCCATCCTTCTGGATCACTGGCCAGTGATATATGCTCTGGGTTTCCAGGTGGTTCCTAAGTTGGTCTCACTGCATACTAGTGAACAGAGGTCAGGTGTCCCATTGACTAGCATGGCAGGGGGCCCTGGAGCTAACAGTTTGTCTTGTAGGACTGTGCCACATAGGTTGAGGGTAGAGGTGCCACCGTTGGGAAGAGCAGAGATCTGGGCATCCAGGAAGGTGTGTGGCACACACATTCTTACAGCTTTGCTTCTCACCTAGATAGCTCAGACTGGCCAGGGCTCACTGCCAGAGTTTCTAGGTGGGCCAGAATGGAAGAACTGTGAACATTTTCTCATATTCCCAGGACCATGAACCAGTTGCTGCTCCTAGGAGAAATCCTTGTGGTATGGTGCTAAGCCCCCAGAAGGAGCTAGCCCTCCCCTGTTCCCTGGGCTCTCCAGGTAGATGTAGTAACTACTGTTTTTCCTAAATTACATTGGGATCTATGAGAGTTTTGGCCCCAGCCTTTCACAGCTTCTCCAGTAAAGGCTAAGTGGGAGTGGGGTAATAGGACCAGATGCTTTGCATAAAAACACTTGACCATTAGGCCCAGAGTCATTCCCTGCAAAGGGCCGTTTTTCTTGGTGGCTCAGCAGAGCCTGCTGGTAGGAACTGGAACATTCTGGGGACTGCTTTCACCAGTAGGAAACAAACAGCCCATCTGCCTCCTTCCTCTGTTCCAGCTAACCTACTTATTTCTTTATTTATTTTGGCTTTTTTTTTCCTTTCCTTTCCTTTCCTTTTCTTTCTTTCTTTCTTTCTTTCTTTCTTTCTTTCTTTCTTTCTTTTTTTTTTTTTGAGACTGGGTTTCTCTGTGTAGCCTTGGCTGTTCTGGACTCACTTTGTAGACCAGACTGGCCTGGACCTCAGAGACTGGCCTGCCTTTGCCTCCCAAAGTACTGGGATTACAGGCATGTACCACCACGCCCAGCTTAATTTATTAAATCACCCAGTGGGTAATTTAGCAGCAGATAGGGTAACATCTCCAATGTTCAGATGGGCTCCGTACCTCCTTTGGTGGTTGAGCCACTGAATCACAAGATCCCTTTCTAGTGGGTCCTGTGACCATTTCTAGCATGTGGGGGGGGGGGGTTCATGGTTTTTGTTCTGATGCCCTCTTCTTGGTGGAAACCTCTTGATTCTAAGAGCTGTATGACACACTCAAGCCGTGGAAGAAATGGAGTTGGAGGGCTTGAGTAGATACCTGGGGACCAGGTTCTAGGCAAAGACCTTAGATTATGTCTTCCATCTAAGAGTAGAATAGACAAAGGCCCAGGTCTGACTGTGCTTGGAAGACGGTGTTCATGTAGGGATGCTTGGGAATCATGGGAAACATGCCCCTTTCTACCCATGTTATTAACATACAGTTCTTGGTCCTCAGACTAGAAGACTCAACAGTATCATTGTCACTCTGAGTCTATTCAAGATGCCAGCTGGTAATTGAGGCAGCCACCTTTGCAAGTTAACTGGCTTCTTCTATAGGAAAATTAGGACCAACAAAATAGGTTAGCAGGTGCCAGCGCTTGCTGGGAAACCTGAGTTTAGTTCCTAGAAGCCAGGTGGTGGGAGGAGAACCGACTCATGCAGTTTGTCCCCTGACCTTCACATTCATGTCATGGCGTGCACATGCACAGGGAGGTAAGCACACATATGTACAGTAAATAAATAAATGTCTCCTATATTTGCAGCTGAAAGCTGGCTTGTGACTTGGAGCCAAGCACTGGATGGTCTTACATCATGGGAGATGTCCTGGTAAAACAGTACTATTTTGTGAAGCTGACAGAGGCTTGTGGAGATTTTAGAAGTGTTTACATTCCATCTTGAGAGGATGGTGAAAGGATTCACAGTGTGAAGGTTTCTTTTTTGAGGGGTTTCTCTGTGTAACCCTGCTGTCCTGGAACTCATTCTGTAGACCAGGCTGGCCTCAAACTCAGGGATCTGCCTGCCTCTGCCTTCCCAGTGCTGGGATTAAAGGAGTGTGCCACCACTGCCTACTCACAACAGAGAGTTTAGGTCAATGCTCTGAGAAAGAAGGGAAGATTCCCTTCACTTTCTGCACATAAGAATCAAAATTTATTTTTAAAATTTAAGTTTCTGTATGTCCTCATGCAGAGGACTGGGCAAGGTGTAGGGTCTTGGACTATGGCTGTCCTGGTCCCCCTGCTCAGGCAGGGAGGATGTACGGAGGGTTGTGGGCTGTGGTGAAGCATGGGTAGGTGGCGGACTTGGTGGCCTCTTCAGCTAGTGATTTGGGAGCCCTTGACTTGGTACTAGGGCTGTCCCTGTAAAGGCTCATTCTTGGCAAACCATTAAGACAGATGGTTAGTGTGTGCTGAAATTTTATGAATCTAAGAGGAAGCCAATAAAAGGTAGCATGTTTAAGGAATTATCTTTCTGTGCAAGAACCATGTGATGGGGAAGTGAGGAAGGCCAGCTGTCATCTGGCTGTGTTCTGCACTGTTCTCATCAGGTGGGGACTCTTACTCTAACTACATAAGGCTGTAAACAGTCATCTCCCCAGGGAGTGCTAACCATAAAGACATAAAGAAGCTCTTGACTTGGGGTGTTGCCTATGTCAGTATTGGGAAGACTTAATCCCTCCAGCTCAGTGAGGAGTCTTCAGTAGAGACTCTACAACCTGATTGCTGCCATCTATTTTCTGCTGGTCTCTGTGTCAACACTGCTCACCCAGGAGAGAAATCTGACCGAGTGTATCTGACCAGCTCTGTCTACTGTAGCTGGGATTCCTATTTAGTTCTTTCATTCCATAGAGGCACCACTGTGTCTCCTCAGGGAGGATCCTGAGCTCTTTGTCTTTGTCAGGGAGTGTTGGGGACATGACTGACACACAGCAGAAGTGACATGTCCCATCCTAGCTAGGGTAGAATTTTGAATGGCTCTGTGGGGTGGCACTGGGTAGTGATACTACACTGAGGTCCTGAGGGATTTTGTGTTGGGCAGTACTGGTATTGCATGTCATTATGGGATGACCGCATCTACCATGGCTTGTGTCTTTGCAATGTGTACTATGAGTGGAGATGACAGAAGATGACTGGAAAGAGCCCAATTAATACCTATAGTTTCTAAGCTAAACACATAGGTGCAGTCTCAAGAGGGTTTCTGTCATATGTGGAACCCCAGCCTCATCTATGCAGAGGAGCTTGAAGATCTGGCCTTCTTGGAACAGCAAGAATCCTTAGCCCCCAGACTAAGGTCCCTAATAACTGTTTCCTGCCAGAGGGACTCAGTGCTCCTCAGAGGCATGCTGACTCTAGACCTGGGCCAAGAAAGTTGAAGATGAACTTGGTAGGCTAGCAAGCTGACAAAGAGCAGGGAAAGGCAGCCAGTGGCAGGCAGGACTGGTAACTTGACCAGAGCAAACGTAGTAAAGCTACTGATGGGAGTATCTTGCAGCCCGTATGCAGTGAGGGATGCTAGGATCTGGTTGGACTCACCTTGTTGGGAGACAGAGGTTTAGGAAGGTGGGTACAGTGAGGGATAAAGAACAATTCACTTGTCCCAGAGTGCCAGATGGAAGCTTCCCAACTGCCTTCCCTCACCCACTTCAGCTCTGGCCACTGTGACCCATCAGTCTGGGCCATGTACAACAGATGACACTGTTGTAAATGTCCCAGAAAAGGTGTTCAGCCAAGAGCCTTGAATTAGAGCCAGCCAGGATGTGTGCAATCTGTTCTTTCTGCTGCTGTCCTAAATGTCCTAGCAGGAAAGGAGCAGAGCTGGTGCCCAGGAAGACTCTAGCAGTAAGCCGTTAGAAGGGCTAGGTTTTGTCTGCAATGCAAGGAAGCATAGAACAGAGAAAACTCATGTTGACAATATGATTAAGGGAACCATGTCCTGTGGGATAAGACCTACCACCTCCCTGGGTGGGTAGGTAGCAGCTTTGTAAAGCCCTGGTTCTTCACATCCATGTCAATAATCCCTTTCTGGCCTGTGTGGAATGTACTGCCTTGCTAGGTCCTGCCTCGTATACAAAATCAGTGTGGGATGGTTTGGGCCTATTCCCTTCTCTTCTTCCCCTCTGACCTAGAGCCAGAAGATCATTCTTCAGTGACAGGTCCCTGAAGGGGATAATTGGGGATGAGAAAATAAAAAAGCAGGAAAGTTGGGAGTAGGTCTTACATAAACTGAAGGGCTATGACAAGCAAGTTTATTAAGAAGTATAGCATCTTCTGTATTATTTGTGTCTGAGGGATAATTGGACAGAGTCATCAAAAGGCTATCACACAAAGGGAGTCATCAAGAAGATAATCAAGCAGTGTTGCACAAAGGAAACACAGGACATCACAAGAGTACCAAGTGCCACAGACCAGGACTCTTTGGTATTGAGACTGATAACCACAGCCCTCCAAGAAGTGGGAAATAGAGTTCCCAGGATATGAAACCATAGCTCCCTCAAGCTCCTGGCCTCAGGCCCTTATTGGTCTTCCAAGCATGTTCTGGTTTTAGACAAGAAACTAAGTCTTCATACATCAAGGTCTCTGGGGAAGTCCTCAACCAGTCTGGCCCTTAACACCTCCCACAAAACACATAAAACTTTGGATTCCCAATGGATTCCCAATTCCACAGGGCATTAGTGGGTTTCCACATATAGGTGAGAGGTGGGTGATATCACAGGGTCTCTCTCTGCCAGCTACCATGGGTCTGCTCTGAAAGGATACATTGATGGAGAGGTGGCTAGGCAGGCTCCACCCGGGAAGGACAGCTGTCTTGGACAGGTAATGACACTTGTTTAGGAATTGTAACCAAGCACATCCTATAGTTTCCCAGGCTGAGCATCCAAGACTCACATAGTCATCATCAGACAAGGGAGGCTACCCAGGCCCAGTCAGGTGCTGGAGACTGCTCTCAGAAAACTGGAATCCTAACCTAATCTATTCAGTTGTTCACTTAAACTGTGGATACCATCTGTTTTTATGTCACCTGGTGTGTAGGGCACAGTTAGTTCAGGAGAGTTTCAGCCCCTCCCAGGATCCATCAAAGCATCTGACCAGAGTTTTGCCAAAGTGGGGAAATCCCATCATGATCCTGTTTCTGGGAAAGAGAGGATCCAGGGATGTTTGGGGAGCAGGTGACTCCTCACAGAGCAAACATATTAAGGCTGCTGATGGGAAAACCAGACCCAGACACCGAGAGGTAAGTGCACACCCTTAGTGTATAAGGCAAAGATTGCTAACAAGGCAGCATCACAACCAAACCCAAGATCTCTGAGGCTAGGAAGAGATGGTTTTCTAATACTCTACTGCATATCTAAGAGTGTCCTTGTGGGTGTGCCTCATGTGGTAGCTCTGTGTCCTGGGTTGACATGGCCTATGAATTAGGCAGGGACAGAGGCATAGGCAGCTCCAGCCCCCTATAATGCTTTTCACTGTGGCTTGGCTCAAGGCGGGGACAGCCATAGAGCAGCAGCAAATCCCCTGAAATGCTTCTGCTTTCACTTCAGCAGGTTGAATGCCAGCACTCCCTCTCTGTCCCAGGATGTCCACTTGGCAGCCAGCTGCCTGAGGTAGCCCCTCCCCACACAGGAAGGCTTAAGAGCAGTTCCATTCAGTACCTTGGAAGCTAGATTGTGAGAAGAAAGTTTGTGTGTATGTATGAATGTATGAGAGTGTGAGTATGTGTGGTAATGAATATGTGAGTGTGTGAGAGTATGCGTATGACTGTGTGTGCATGTGGGTATGTGTGTTTATGCGAGTGGGTATGTGAGCATGTGACTATGTATGTGTGAGCATGAGTGTGTGAATGTGTGTTGCTTCAGAGGGCTGTCTCCTGGACTTCAGAAAACAGCTCTTTGTCCTCACAGGGTAGGGTCATACGGAGAGAGCAAGCAAGCTCTGTCCTTGTCTTTTCTTCAGGACAGGAATCCCAGTGTTCCTATTAGTGTTCTTAATAGGACACTATCACTTTCCAAGAGTCATCTCAAACTGTTTTCCTGTTGGAGCTGGGGCCTTACCATGGGGGCTCAGTTCATATTTACCCTTCAGTCTTCGCTCTGCAGCTCAGGGGCTTGGGGGGGGGGCTGTAAGCCCCCAGTCCTAGGTGCTCTAGGTTCTGAGACAAGCAGGTCTGTGTCAGCCTGTCCCAGGCTTACCAGTTGTTACAGGGCTCCTGGCTGAGCAGTTGGCGGGACTGTGTATCCAAGAGGCACTGAGCAGGTATCGCCCACAGGTCCTTCCAGGTGGTACTCTTGTTCCTGGTGCTGGCCGTGTTCCTGATGCTTGCTTTCCTGCCTGTGGACTTCAAACTACTCCCATCGTAAGTCATGTGCAGATGCCTTGTGCTGTGGGAGGCTGTGCTCTGCCCCTTCGGCCCTGAGAGCAGTGCAGGGATCCCTCCTGCCTCACTGCCCCATTGAGCTTCAGTGTCCTCTCTGGGAGGGAGTGGTGAGCTATGCTTCTCTTGGGCCTGTCTCCTATGATGACAAGCCCCCTGGGAAGGCTTCTGAGGAGGCTCTGAGGCCTGGCATGGTTAGTCCAGCTTGGGAAGGGAACTGAATAGAGCTGGGTCTACAGTAGGAGCTTTGAGAAGGCTACCTCCTGGCCTACAGAAATGGCCTGGCTTATAGCATGGCTTATTTCCCCAGCACTCTGGGAAGCCCCTATTTTCCTTTTCTTCATGTTGTCTTTGGTTGGATTTGTATGACAAGGAGGGGTAAACTATCCTCTGAGAAAATGCATTGTCCCAAGGTCTGCTGTATTCTATTCCTTACCATCTTGTCAGTCTTACTGGTTTACATTAAGACAGGAAGTTGCCTGGTGCTGTCTGGGTACATCCTAGCATTTGTTAGGCTGCCTGACCTGGGCTGAGATCACAGACCCACTGCCACACAGGGTGCCCTGGGAAGCAGCAGGTTCGGGGGACTATGAAAATGCTTGGGGTCTGGGGTATCCCACGGCTTGCACGGGAACAGGAAGTACAGCTGTGGAGGACATCTTGCTGCGTGGGAAAATAATATCTGATACAGAGAATGGCCCTGGACTGCAAGATTGCAGGGTGGTGGGACTGGACTAGGAACACAGCCTGGAGGATGGTAAGAGGAGATGGTATTGGGACCTCATGTTGGTGGGCACTACTTGGGGAGTGCTGTTGAAGGTGTGTGGGTCCTTTACTGATGATGGCCTGTGCTTTCTCTACTAGTCTGCTAAGGGACAAGGCCCAGGAACCACCAGTCACCAACATCATGTTCCTCAAGACACACAAGACAGCTAGCAGTACAGTGCTCAATATCCTTTACCGCTTTTCGGAGTCTCACAACCTGTCCACAGCGCTGCCCGAGGGCTCCAGCTTCCATCTGGGCTACCCCTGGCTTTTTGTGACACGGTATGTGGAGGGCATGAAGCAGAGTGGCCACCTGAATCATCGCTTCAACATCATGTGCAACCACCTGCGGTTCAACCTGCCTGAGGTATGAAACACGGAGGTGGGAAGAGGGACGGGCTAGAGCTGCCTCGCTCAGAGCTATGGGTGTAACTACGGCACTTACAGGGGTGGAGGTGGGGTAGGGTGCAGAGTCAAAACAGTGGAGGAGGAGTTTGGAGTTGTAGGGTTGGAAAGGCCTTCCTGTAGACGCTGATAGGCCACTGTCTTCAGGCTGCCAAGAGAGCATGCAATAGCTCTCGGCATAACACTCGTAGCCCCAGTGCTGTCTTCCTGAGGGCATTCCAACCCTCTCTCACATATCTGAATTTCTGGTTCTGGAAGAACATACTGGGCTCTTGTTGCCCCGAAACTTCACACTGGCTCCTTTGGGGCGTGAATGAGGCTCCAGCTCTGTTTTGGGAAGCTGGGACCTGTGGGAGGTAAGGACTTTCTGGGTATCCAAACAAGATTCTCAGGGTCTTTAGTCTCACCTACTCCTTCTCCATACAGGTACAGAAAGTCATGCCCAATGACACTTTCTACTTCTCCATCCTACGGAACCCGGTTTTTCAGCTGGAGTCTTCCTTCATCTACTACAAGGACTACGTGCCTGCCTTCCAGAGAGTCAAGAGCCTGGACGAATTCCTGGCAGATCCATGGAAGTACTACAATGACAGTGTGGGCCTGAAGAATGTCTACGCAAAAAACAACATGTGGTTTGACTTTGGCTTCGATAACAACGCCCCGGCTGAAATGGCCTATGTTCGCACGTGCCTCTCGGAGGTGGAGCGCCAATTCCATCTTGTGCTCATTGCAGACCACTTTGATGAGTCGATGGTGCTGCTGCGCAGACGGCTGCGCTGGCAGCTGGATGACGTCGTGTCCTTCAAGCTGAACGCGCGCAGCCAGCGCACCGTCTTGCACCTGATGCCGGAGAGCCAGGAGCGTGTCAAGCACTGGTGTGCGCTGGACTGGCAGCTCTACCAGCATTTCAACCGCACGTTTTGGGCCCAGCTGCATGCGGAGCTAAGCCCACGCCGGCTCAGGGAAGAGCTGGAGCAGCTGCGGGTGAGGCGGCGCGAACTCACCACCCTGTGTCTTCAGGACCCCGAGCCCAAAAATAAGACGCACATAGATGATCCGAATCTGCGTCCTTACCAGTCTGGAAATGCCGAAATTCTGGGCTACAACCTCAGGCGTGGTCTGGACAACACCACACTGCGCATCTGTCAGAGGATGGTGATGCCAGAGGTTCAATACATGGCCCACCTGTACTCGCTGCAGTTTCCTGACAGGGCTCCTAAGAGCATCCCATTCCTGAAACAGTAGGGGTTCAGCTAAGTGACCCTTTCTCCCCAGGCTCTCCTGGGAGCCCTAGACTTTGCCAGCCTAACTTTCCAAAGTGAAGAACAGGGTGAAACTGTGAAGAAACCTACCCATCCCCACTTCTGGGGACGGGGCCCTATCCCTAATACAACAGGCACAGCTAGTCCACAGCTGAATCCACCACCCATTGTAGAGACAATGTTCTAGATAGCCAAGACTGTAGTCTTGTGCTCTTTAGTTATCTGTTCACAGAGCCGGTCTAAGCAGCCCATCAGGTGAACATCAGCCTAGAGGAGCACACTTAGGCAGTGGGCCTGTGGATCCACGAAGAGACCAAGAACAGCTCCGTGGGATTTTCTAGCCATGTGGATTCAGCGCTGGCCACAGAGCCATGCCTGTTTGGGTACAGAGGCAGCAGCTCAGAGGTGGATTTGGGGGAGATGGGATGAAGCGGCAGCCTTCCATCTCTGGCTTTAGGAAGGACAGTGTTGACTGAGAGATGTGAAAGTTGGTTAGCCTGAGCACAGGCACAGCCTACCTTTTAGCTTCCTGCTGGACAATCCTGAAAGAGAAACTACCTGGCTTGCTGAAGGTGCTCAGAGGGTCTTTGGTTGCCTTGTAAACCACATTGTATATCATCTCAGGGATCACCTTTGGGTATCTCTTAGTCATTCATGGAGAGATACTAAGCACCCACTGTCCAGCTCTGGCTGGATGAGGTACCTGGTTACCTGGGGTGCCTAATACCAGTTAGCCTGGGAAAAGCAGGTACCATGTTGGGGAAGAAGCCACTGTTACATACTCTGTAGAGTTTCATCTTGAGCCTTGCTTGTTGAGCTTTGGTGGAGGCTTTTCTTCTGTGTCAGAGGCCTCAGCTCCAGGAAAGAGGGTGCACACTCCTCTGGACACTAATTTAATAGGGATACTTTAAGAAAAGTAATTGTCTGTGAGTTTAGAGATGGTACAATGAGCTTGTCAATCCAAAAGAATGTTGTAAATGGAAAAACGACTTTCCCAAACTGAACAGAGATAGTCAAGAATGCCAGGTATGGTGGCACAGGCCCCTAATTTCAGCACTGGGGAGGCAGAGGCAAGGAGCTCTCTGAATTCAAGGCCAGCCCGGACTACCTAGTGAGTTCCAGGACAGCCATGGATATAGGGCAAGACGCTGTCTAAAAACAAAACAAAGCAGAAAACCATAAATAAACAAGTAAAAACAAACCCCCAAACCTCTGAAATCAGACAGAATTACTCGTAATAAACTTAGGTCCTCTGGAAGAGAAGTAAAAGAAAAAGTTTCTGCTCAGGACCTCCAGGACCAAGTTCTCAGCACAAAGGTGTTTCTCTCCCCCACCTCCTCTAGAGGAATGGAGGGCAGGGATAAGGGACAAAGACAGGAGACAGAGGAAGAGGGAGAAAGGACAGGAACAAAGAAGAGGGGAGAAAAGGGGCAAGGGAGAGGAAGAAGGGATACTTATTGTAGAGTGGAAACAAGGGACTGCCTCTGCTTAGAGAGGGAACAGACGTGGCACAGAAGAAAATGGTGGTTTATAAAGGTACAAGGGGTAACCCTGTGTTAGGATGAGGTGTTTAGTTTTAATTGAGCATGTTAATTAGGTGAGACAAGGGGGGATTTTGATTGCTGGACTTCAGTACTTTGATAGCTGAACCTTGGGCCTGACTAGTCAACCAGGAGGACAAAGTGGCCAAATGAGGGACTGGACCTTGGTGGCTAGCTTCAGGAATATAATGGTTTTTAGCAAGTTTGAGGGAATCCAGAAGGGCAAGGCCTGCCAGAGCCATGCTCGCTACACTCGAGCTGGCCAGAGTCTCTTCATGAGGGGTGCGTTCTTAGTTTCTGAGCCTTCTTTCTCTCTAGCTCCTTAATTAGAACTTTCAATTCTTTTTTATTAAATTTTTATTTTTTATGTTAATTTCAGTTTATTTACTTTGTATTACAGCTGTAGTCCCCTCCCTCATTCCCTCCCAACCCCATCCTCCCTTCCTCATTTCCTCCCTGCCCCTCTCTAAGTCCACTGATAGGGGAGGTCCTCCTCCCCTTCCATCTGACCCTAGTTTATCAGGTCTCATCAGGACTGGTTGCATTGTCCTCCTCTGTGGCCTAGCAAGGCTGCTCCTCCCTCGGGGTTAGGGGAGGTCAAAGAGCCAGGCACTGGGTTCATGTCAGAGATAGTCAGAACTTTCAGTTCTTAGTACACTTAATTTTTCTTTTTCTAAGTACTAGAGATTGACCTCAAGTGTTCTAGGCAAGTGATTTAACACTGATCCTCAGCCCTGAAAGACTCAAGAAGAAAGTAATATGCAACTCTCACTCTCTTTCTCTCTCTTTCACACACGCATATATATGTATGTGTGTGTGTATATATATATAAATATATATACATATATATATATATAAATGTCTCTCATATATGTGAGACAAATTAGTGTTGATTTATGTGTGTGAAATTGATGAAAACATCTTGCTTCTTTGAATACATGCTTTCTCTCAGGAAAAACTGTTCTTTATGTAGACTAGGATATATTTGCTGGTAGACACACACACACATGCACACACATATATACTATTTTCTTAGAGCATAAGAGGCTAAGAGTACTTGAATTACAGCCAGCAACTGATGTTCCATCATTTTAATGTATTGAAGAATGATTTATATATTTCTTTGACTTAATTTAAAAATTCCATAAACATGGATCCCACTCATTTATACTTTATTTTTACAGCTATACCTAGATTACACATAAAAATTACATTAATAGACAAGCAAAATAATAATTTATTTTTTTATTAAAGACCCTGTTCATGGTGTAATCATTGTGCCAATGTACAGAAAGTAATAATGGGCACTGCCTTACACTCTAATCTGAATTTGTTGTCTTCACTCAAAACCACAACACTCACCTCAAGGGGATAAGAAATAATTTAATCTGAGGCCAAATGTGAGTGACATGGCTCAGGAATACCAATTTAGGTTACCTTGCAATCGTGTTCTAGCCTGAGAACAGTTTGATGAAGTTTTCATAGTTGCAGAACAAAGAAAGTCATATAATAAACCATTTTAAAAATACACCAATGGAAACAGTAGGTAGATGGGTTCCAGAAAAGGGAAAACCCTGCTCTAGACCTCAGATTCTGTCTGATGATATTCTGAGCCTTTGGGATGATGGAAGCTCGGAGTCTGTTAAGTTAATACATTCCAAAAAGTTTTACCTATTAGTTACAGGATGTTAGGTCAGTCACGGAGATAAGAGGGCTGTGCTGGACAGTTTATGTCAACTTGACACAAACTATAGTCATCTGAGAGGAGGGAGCCTCAATTGAGAAAATGTCTCCAAAAGATTGGTCTGTAGAGAAGACTGTGGAGTATTTTCTTAATTAGTGATTGATGGGGGAGGGCCTAGCCCATTGTGGGTGGAGCCACCCTGGGTTGGTGGCTCTGAATTCTATAAGAAAGCAGGCTGAGCAAGCTAGGGGGAGCAAACCAGTAAGCAGCTCTCCTATGGCTTCTGTATCAGTTTCTGCTCCAGCATCTTGCTCAGTTTGAGTTCCTGCATTGCTCCTCTCACTGGACTGTGATTCAGGATGTACAAGTCAAATAAACTCTTTCCTCCCCAGCTTTCTTTTGGTCACAGTGTTTCAACACAGCAACAGCAATTCTAATTATGACAGAGGCTATAGATCTATTGCTCTGGATAAGTTCCAACATCCCAACGTCTCCTACAATCATTGAATCAGCCCATAATCAGTTAATCAGCCTTGGAGGAAGTTTAATGTAGGATATGGTTCTTTCTAGAAACATGTCTACAGTCCCTGCTGCTTGCCAAGCATTTACATTTTGCGTGTCTAAGGGTCATATGGCCTTACTGTTTCACACCACCACAATCTGATGTAGAGGAAACAGAATGGCAGACAGAAGAGCGTCCAGGAGAGAGGAGTAGTAGGATCCTAGCATTGAGATGTAGTAGCTGTTATGACCCAGCTTTGGTTCACAGAAATGGTGGAACATGGACACAATGGAGCACTACTCAGCAATTAAAAACAAGGAAACCCTGAAATTTGCAGGCAAATGCTGGGAACTAGAAAAGATCATCCTGAGTGAGGTATCCCAGAAGCAGGAAGACACACATGGTATATACTCACTTATAAGTGGATATTAGACATATAATATAGGGTAAACATACTAATCAGAAAGGAGGACCCTGGGTAAGATGATCAGTCCTCACTCAGAAAGGCAAATGGGACAGGAAGAAGAAGAAAACAGGGAATAGGACAGGAGTCTACCACAGAGGGCCTCTGAAAGACTCTATCCAGCAAGGTATCAAAGCAGATGCTGAGATTGATAGCTAAACTTTGGGCAGAGTGTAGGGAATCATATGAAAGAAGGGGGGGATAGAAAGACCTGGAGGGGACAGAAGCTCTACAAGGAGAGCAACAGAACCAAAAAATCTGGACACAGTTGTCTTTTCTGAGACTGATACTCCAACCAAGGACCATAAATGGATATAACCTAGAACCCCTGCACAGATGTAGCCCATGGCAGCTCAGTCTCCAGTAATGGGAAGAGGGACTGTCTATGACATGAACTCAGTGGCTGGCTCTTTGATCACCTCCCCCTGAGGGGGGAGCAACCTTACCAGGCCACAGAAGACAATGCAGCCCATCCTGATGAGACCTGATAAGCTAGGGTCAGATGGACGGAGAGAAGGACCTCCTGTACCAGTGGACTTCAGGAGGGGCATGCAGGAGATGAGGGAAGGAGGGTGGGATTGGGAGGGGATGAGGGAGGAGGCTACAGCTGGGATACTAAGTGAATAAACTGTAATTTATTAAAAAATAAAATAAAAAAGTTTTTAACTAAAAAAATCCTCTTTATTTGACCTAATTATAAAATATAATAGGAGTAACTTATCTATATTAAAATAATCAGGAACTCTGCCTGGCTTAGTGGAGGGAGGGTAGCAGATGAGGGAAATAGGCATTT